AGCAGAAAATCCTTCATGCATTTATACAGTTCACAAAATGATCACATCTGAAACATACAGCTCCTGCTTTGGCCTTGGTTGTTCCTAGACAGCAGTATCCAACATCATGGCCATGAAAAGCCTCAGCGTATTCATCTAGCTTCTCAAAATCAACCACCTTTTGCACCTGACGAGAACAAGGAGGACAATAAACAGTCAGAATAAAATCATGATAACTTTTTTTTTTTATGCATTGCATTAAACAACAAAATATTAAACCTTGTGCTGTGCTGTCATTCTTTAAAAGGATAGTTCACCCAGAAATGAAAATTCAGTCTATGGAAGTCAATGGTTATCATCAACATTGGTTACCAACATTTTATTTCAAAAGAAGAAAGAAATTCATACAGGTTTGACGTTTGGGACAACTTGAGAGTGAGTAAATGTTGACTGAATTTTCATTTTTGGGTGAGCTCCCCCTTTAAGCCACTTGATTTGATATTTGGTATGCAATGAAATTCATACATTTTTAAGCATGAATAAGTGTCCAAACTAATTATGGGGTACTGTACATGGACACAATAACATTCTCAGACTTGACACATTACCAGATTTTCATAGGCTTTATCCACAAAGGTTAACTGCCTTCGTCCAATGAGAGTGATCTTGGAGAAGATGTTGCGCTCGACTATTTCCTTCAGCAGGGCCTTTCCAGTCTCACCGGAAGCGCCGAGAATGAAGCACGTTCTGTTCTTCTGCCGGTAATTCTCCTCCATCACGTTCAGATCCATTCTGTAATGAAGAAACGAGTGCATAAGCAACCGTCTGAATCTCGCAACATCACCATGACAGTGCAGAATTTGCACAGGTGTACTAAAATAAACAGGTGTATTATTCATAATAACTGCTTCATGAGTTGATCCTCAAAGCGGCGCTCGCACAAGGCTCACTGGACCTCATTCAAATCTCAGGCCGATTGTCTACTGTAATATCTGTAATACAGGTCTGGAATTGTTGAAATCCATTAATGCCAGTATTTGGTACCTGACATGCTAATGTAAATCCGCCTCAGAAATCTATATCAAATGATTTTTAAACATCCTTATCCAGTATATATAATTACAATCAACTGTGATTTGTCCATGCTGAGAAAAGTATCGAATAGGGCCTACCACGTGACAATACAGTCGGTTCCCAGCAAAGGTGTTGTTTGTTGACCTGACCTGAACGAACTCGAGAAATATTATAAACAAATTTACTGAACTGAATTATTGCATTCAGCCACGTCCAGTCGACTTATTTCATGCATATCCTACATGTTTTGACAATTTTTTTTAATTGTTGTGATTTTATTCTCTCTGATTCAAATTCTCCCTCTGTATTTTTTTATTTTTTTGATGATGTTATTTACCTAAATACAATAACGAGGGAAAATTGCCATAGACAGCTATGATCGAGAATCAAAAAGATCACGTACTGCAGAAAAAACATA